ACACACACACACACACACACACACACACTATCCCCCCACCACACACATACACACACACACACAAAATCCCCACACCACACACACACACATACTATCCCCCCACCACACATACACAAGCCCCCCCTCCCGCGTTCTCTCACACACTCTCTCTAAGTGCCAGTAACCAAGCTCCTATAGAATTTAAACAAGCCTTCACTCCTCCTGTGTGCAAAACCTCTTGTATAAAGGCTAACATTCCGTTCGCTGTCCCAATAACCTGCTTCAGATGTATGTTAGCTTTCAGAGACTTAACAACAAGGACACTTAAATCCCTTTGTACGTCTACACAATCCAAACTCTGACCATTTAAGAAATACTCTGCACATCTGTTTTTCCTATCAAAGTGGCACAATGGCTCAGTGGTTAGCACTGCTGCCTCACCGTGCCAGGGACCCAGGGTCAATTCCACCTTCGGGAAATTGTCTGCGTGGAGTTTGCATATTTTCCCGTGCCTGCATAGGTTTCCATCGAGTGCTCCGGTTTCCTCCCACAATCTAAAGATATGCAGGTTAGGTGCATTGGCCATGCTAAATTGCCCATAGTGTCCAGAGATGTGTGGACTAGCCATGGGAACTGTAGGGTTACAGGGATAGGGGATGGGGAAGATGAGTCCAGTTGGGTTGTTCTTCGGAGAGTTGGTGCGGACTCGTTCGGTCAAATGGCACAGTAGGCAAAGTGGATGACCTCACATTTTCCCACATTATATTTCACCTGCCATGTTCTTGCCCATTCATTGAGACTTTTCAAATCCTGCAAAAGCCCCTTTACATCTTCCTCACAATACATATGCCAACTTAGTTTTTTAATCATCCACAAATTTAGAAATATTACATTTGGTCCTCAACTTCAAATCATTGAAACTTATAGTGAACAGCTGGGGCCCAAGCATTGATCCTTACAGTATCCCAATAGTCACAGCCACAGACCCGAGAATGACCCAGTTTCTCCTAATCTCTGTTTTCTATACATTAGCCAATCATCAATCCATGCCAGTGCGTTACCTTCTATCCCATTTGATTTACTTTTGCTCAGGAGGAGGACTTTATCAAAAGCCTTCTATAAATCTAAGTATACTATGTCCAATGACTTTCCTCTGTCAATTTTGTTTGTAACATCTTCAAAAAACTCAGAGTTCATTAATCCTCAATGTTTCAAAGTTCAGTATCATCCACAAACTTTGGAACTTCCCCTGTTCACAAGGAAAAGCAAATGTCACAATACTATACCCTAAGGACCTCCACTACAAAAGTTCCTCCAACCAAAAAACATCCGAATTGAATTAGCTTTATTGTCACGTGTATTCAAACGAGTACAGTGAAAAGTTGTCACTTACAGCCATTGACCATTATTCTGTTTCCTATTACTCAATCAATTTTGTATCAATGTTGTCACTGTTCCTTTTAATTCACGAGCTGCAACCTTTCTCACAAATCTGTTGAGGCACTATATCAAATGCATCAACAGCATCACCCTTATTAAGCTTTACTGTTACTTTTTCAGAAAAATTCCAAGTTAGTTACAGATGATTTCCCCTTTAGATATTCACGCTGGGATCTTGCTAATCAACTCACCATGTGACGATTAATTCTATACCAAATAATTGTTTCTAGAAGCTTCTCCACCACTAAAGCTGAACTGACTGGATTGTAATTGGTCTTATCCTTGTAACCGGTCTTATCCTTGTAACCTTTTTGAACAAAGGCACAATTCCTAGGATTATCCCCGGGGATCTAGGGAAGACTGAAAATTACGAGCAGTTCCACTCTCACTCTTTCAATATCCCTTGGTCCAATTTTAAATTTATTAACTAAGGAGGTATGACATTTAGATTGACCCAACATGTGGAAGAGGCACGTTGTTTGTGTTTAAATTTATTGAGTGTTTTCTTTGCTTAAAAATGCTGTGAACAGTGAGGAAAACAGATCAATAAATTGTTCACATCAACAAACAAACAAGGTCTGTGTCTTTACGAATCTGGATAGAGGATGGCTCTTGTGACCTAGAGGGTTAAGCTCAGAGAAACACAGTGTCCATGTAAATTAATTGAATATTGAAAGGAGAAAGTACATTTGGGAAATGGGGAAAAGTATGCTTTGGTGAAGAGAGAAAAGAATCAATGACTTAAAGCAGTTTTTGGGAAGTAATGGTATTCCACCTAATTCCACTTACGTTTATTTTAAGATTAAAATGTTATGAATTGTGAAGTAACAAAGTGGTTAATCACTTTAGAAGAAAATGGTGTCTTACAATGAATATAACAGTGATTTGGGGACAGCTCATATTTGTAAGTGCGCACAGTTTAAAATATACGATGAGATAAGATTATTATTTAGAGATCTGGGATAGGAATCCAGAACTTGTTACAAACTCCCTATAAATAAATGTATTAAGTGTCTTTAGGATCAATCTCCTTTCACAAATTCTCATCCAACTGCAGCAGATTGACTAAATCAGTGGTTTTAAATTGGTCCAAAGTTCCTCTGAGGAAAGACACATGCAAAGTATTCATTGAGTACCTCAGCCACATTCTCTGTCTCCATGTAAAAATTCCTTATTTGGTCCCTAATTGGCCCTCCTCCTCCTTTTATGTACTTTAATTATTTATATGCCTGCAGAAGACATATGGATTCCCTTTAAGGCTGGCTATCAGTCTTTTTGTGTACGCTGTCTTTGCTGTTCGAGTTTCTTCATTCACAAACCTGTAAAATTTCCATATTTAGCCTGGTTCTCATTTGTATTATCCGACTGACATCTTACTCTATCTCTTTGGTCTCCAAGGGAAATCTCACTTTTTTTAACCCCCCATCTTTTTCCATCTGCCACAGTTTAACCAATCACATTTAACCAGTGTCACTGCAATATTTTGCTTCCATCTACAAATTCAAATGGATTGAGTAAACATCCAGCAGGATCAAACTACATTTAAGCAAATTTATATTTTTGTGTAATGGGTCTTCTGACTTCTCATTAAACTTGAATCATATATCTAACATCTCTCTATAGTAAAAGTTGCGATATACAGCACAGTAAACAAAATATACATCCATGTGAATGCTTTTACCGAATGCTCGAAGCTGGTTTCGTCTAGCAGGAACTGGTGGTGACTCGGTTCCTGACTGTGGATGATCCTATAAAGTAATATCATTTTTAAGACAATTCAAGATTACAAATTATTCAAAGAAACACATTTTAACATTTTAATTTAGCTCAGTGAAATAGTTACTTAACATGTTTCCAAGTTGTGTTCTTGGTTTTTTCCAATTTTGAGTTGTGGCTTTTATAAGTTTTGGATCTGGTGTTTGTTAGTTTATCAAATTATGAAGTTTTTACTAAAATAATCTTGATAGAATGAGCTCCAGCAGCAATTGCCCTCAGCAGCAGAAGCCTTTACGATTTTATCAAAATAAATTTCACATTTTTTTAAACAGAAAAATGGCACACACTACTTTGGCTATTAATCCTTGACGAATCTTCACAATAAAATTTCTCGTCTTATTTATATCATGGTTATTGCCTGTATGCTCTGTATGTTTCTTTTTTCTTCAATGGTTAAGTTCCAACATTTTTAATCAATAAATGTCCAAAGAAGAATATAATCAATGAGAAAAATCTTTGTTTGCAGTAATTTGCTATCACGTTCTAAATAAAACTTACCTGTTACAGGGTAGTCATAGTTTTAAGTCTCTCTTTTTAAGGTATTTTTGCTTTAAAGTGGCATCTCTCTCATTACAAGTGCTATTCCCCACTTCAACATCTCATTTCCTGATATGGGATGGGATTCATGGGAATATGAATATCTCTGGTGAGGCCAGCATTTACTGCCCATTTCAATTGCCCCTAAGGTGGTGGGAGGTGGTGGGAGGTGGTATGCTGCAGCCCTTAGAGTGTAGGTACACCTAATGGTTTTAGGGAGGCAGATCCTGGATTGGCCCATTGACCCGATTCCTTATGGAATGCAATAATTCCAAGTTTGGATACATAGGTAGATAATAGGTACCAAAACACAACACTTTACATTTATCTAAACTGAACTCTATTTGCCATTCCTATTGGATTTATTACCTAGCAAGGTAGACAACTGTACATCAAGGCTTCTGTTAGAAATTTCTGAACTGTGAGCTTTTTTTAAGCTTATGGGGAACATTTCTGACTTAGAGTAGGTGATCTTTGTTTCTGGTTTTACTTTGATTGGGGCAGTTCTGAGAGGTCCTTGCACAGAAAAGTATACAGTGCACCAGTACAAGATCAATTTTCACAACACAAGAAAAAGGAGCCACAATACACTGTGGCCCATTAAGGCTGCACCAATATTCAATATGATCATAGCTGATTCTGGGTTTCAATTCTATTTTCCCACCTACTCCCCATTGTCCTCGATTCCCTCAGACATCAAAAACCTGCCCATCCCAGTTTATAATGTGTTAAATAATCAAGTCTCAACTGTTCATCTCAATCCCAAATAATCACCATCATCCTGTGACTACACCAGTGTTTTAAATTCCCTGACCAGCAGAAACAATCTCAGTGTCTACTCTATTAAGCTCCTTCAGAATTTTGCACGTTTTAATGAGATCCCATCACATTCTTCCAAACTCCAAAAAATAAAAATCAAATTTACTCAGTCTCTCATCATAGTTTAATTCCCAGGAACTAATTTAGTTAACAAACAAAAATAGAAATTGCTGGAAAATCACAGCAGGTCTGGCAGCCTCTGTGGAGAGAAATCAGAGTTAATGTTTCGGATCCAGTGACCTTTCTTCAGAACTAATTTAGTTCATGTTTGCTGTACTGCCCCTTTTGCAAGTATTTTTTCTAAATGTGAAGGTCAAAACTGCACAAAGTATTCCAGATGCCATCTCAACAAAACTCAAATTCTAAAGAAAATGCTGCTTTACCTTGGTACTCAAATCCCCCAGAAACAAACACCATCTTGCAGTTTCCCCTCCTCATCGCATGCTAGCTTCCTGCATTCTTTGAACAAGCACATCCAAGTCTCTTTGAATATCAACAATTACAAGTTTCACACCTTCCAAAAAAAGGTCTGATGTTTCTCTGATATAACAAGGTGTACAGCTGGATGAACGTAGCAGGCCAAGCAGCAGAGGAGCAGGAAAGCTTACGTTTCGGGTCTGGACCCTTCTTCAGAAAGGGTTTTTTTTTTAACTGAAGAAGGGTCCAAACCCAAAATGTCAGCTTTCCTGCTCGGCCTGCTGTGTTCATCCAGCTCTACACCTTGTTATCTCAGATTCTCCAGCATCGACAGTTCCCACTATCTCTGATGTTTCTCTATTATCTGAACAAAGTGAATAACTTCACACTTCCCTACATTATACTCTATTTGCTATCTTATTACCCATTCATTTAACCCATCTATATGTCTTTTTACATTTTGGGCTAGTTTACTGTTTTAATATATTACTTTTTCCCATTTTATCAACCTTTTTGATTGCCCTTTGCTAGTTTTTAAAATACACATACAACTACTGATGATGATGCCCAAGTGCATGCCCCAGCCATGATGTTATGGAGATGTCGATGTTTTACTGGGGTTGACAAGTCACACAACATCAGGTTATGGTCAAACAGGTTTATTTAAATTCACAAGCTTTCAGAGGACTGCTCCTTTGTCAGGCGACTATATTGTCTGAGTGTTGTTCAACTTCATGCCCTGAGCTACAATTTTCTTTGATTGCACATCGGGAATATTTTGACTTCAGCGTGCAGTCACAAATTCTATAATGTTGCAACTGATTTCATCTTTCCCTCGCAGACACTATCAGCCTGTTTTCAATATCAGAGTACTATTTGACTCCGAGATGAGCTTCCAGTCTCATACCCACTTCATAGCTAAAATTGCTGCAACATTGCCCAATTTAGCCCACCTCCTGCCAAAACTTTCATGCATGGTTTTGTCAGCTCCAGACTCTACTGTTGGAATGCTTTCCATAATATTCACCATAAATTAGCTCAACCAAATTTTGTAATCTACCCTGCAGAAATTTCCATTCATCCATCACTTGTTTTCTTTCACCCACATTGTTTCGTGATTCCCAAAGACTCTCAGTCACCATCTTTGTAACTAGCTACTACTGAGTAACTATTTCAATTTAATTCCATCATGAGAAATTATTTCCCAAATAAAACTATAAATCTAGTGACGGTTATGAATAACTTTCCATTAAATTGGTTAAGGATTCCTACTTTCAATATGAGATTAAATTATCTCTTGTACGGCCTCAACCTTTACATTAATCACAGAGGGAAAGACTTTCATCCGAACACACCAAGTTAGATATCAAATTGAATAGAGCTGAAATAATTTAATTTTAACTTTTATTTCGCTCCCTAAATATCAAAGTTTCTAACAAATCTTCCCAAATTCTGCAATCCTATTTGCGAAATCAAAGTGCATTGGACTACCAGCAAGACTATACAAGAAAATTGGAGACTTGACGTAAATCACTATGCAAAGCACAGTATTAATTATTATTGAACAGAGTAAGAAGAATTGAAATAACTTACCAAGTTTAATTCCTGCAGAGAGCCACTAACAGCAGGCATATCATTTTTCTGAATATCGATCTGTTTCTTGACAGTTGGAATAGGTGGAGAAGGAGGTCTCTGGAATATGGAAATTTTTTTCAACAATTTATTGATTAATTTTTGACAACTTTCTATTCATCAACCTTGACAACATTATTCTTGAAAATCAAAGCTATTAAATGGTACAGTAGACCTTTTGGCCCAATGAGCCTTTACTGGCAAGACAAAGTAAACAGATTAGTCCCATATGTTTAACAATTAAAAAACAGAACATGCCATTCTGCAGACCAGCTTTGCCATAGTAGCTGAAAGGGCAATTTCACCAGATACTTTAGGTGATAAATATTGCCGAACTGAGATCTTCAATTGAAACACAGATCAAGTAAAAAGACTTCATCTTGGCAAAAAGAGAAGTGTGCTATAGAAATGGCTACATGGAGACTTAAAGGGCCTGCCAGCACTCGTTAAACAGACTGTAGAGCATTTTAGTGGCTAATGCTTGTCTCAAATGCCCTTCCCAATACACAGATGTTTGAGTGTTAAAAAGGTTAATGATGTGGATTTTAAACCATAAATTAAAACGCTACTCACCACTTCATGTTCATTTGCTAGCAGGACTTTGAACAGGACCTTAAACCTGTTGGGAGACTTTCTGGGACACTTTCAAGACTTCAACAACATTCTACCAATATATACTCTCAAACCTCTGAGGGTTTTACTAAAAATCACAAGTGCTGTGCTACTCCCTCTTACTGCAGCCACCAGGAGCAAGTGTGTTTTGGCATGACCAACTTGCTAAGAATCCTCTTGGTCTGAACAAAGAAAAAGAAAGAAGCAGAGCATAGCAGTACAAGGTACTGAAGAGTGCAAAATGGGAAGACATGCCGGCATAGCTCATCTTTGTGGTTACATGACATTACATTCCTCTGGCCCCCCTCTACCTAGTTTATCATTGCTGCAGAGAATCTAGGCATCCTCCTTCTAGATCCCAAAGGCATGTTTACATGCTAGCTTCTCTGCCAGCCAGTGCATTTCACAGTGTCTATGTAAAATTGGACAATGCAGACTACATATACCACTGCTGGAAAATTGTATCTAATCCACACCTGAGTGCTAAACCTGTAGTGGTTGGATTTGTTTCAGGCATGTTTCACTCATCATGGTCATCAATCAGCTCAAAAATATTATTTTAATACTGCACCTCTCTAACAAGCCTTATTAGAACAGCACATATTTCAAACCCATTTTCATCCTTTGGTCAAATTAACTAATAATAAAAACTGCTAATAAATTGCGAGCATCTAGACTTCAGTGGGAAATTGCATTGTAAACTTTGGGGAAGAAATTGGGAGCATCTTGGAAAAAATGAAAATTTTGGGTTATCTAAGAAGAGAGATCCCAAGGAGGGAGTGACGGGAGATGGGAGGTAGTAGCAAAGAATTGGGGTTGGGTATGATCACAATAGGTGGAAATTGTAATTGTGTGGAAATGAGCAACTAGGGAACCAGCCCTATAGTCCCTCTAAATTTATACATTATGTGTAGCCTATATACTTAAGAGAGTGGTACCTTTTAAATTACTTGTGCACTATCTTAAAGAGGATGACTTGTGAAGTATCTTTGCAGTAACCTCCCAGCCATGTACACTCAGTTTAGTTGGACCATTGGACCAGGCAATTCAGGGAAAATCCTGTTGCAGCAAGAACATAACAGCCAAAGATGTGCTTCAGACATGGGTAAGGGGCACCTCCCATTTGACCTCATGCAAATCTGCACTTACTACATAATATTTGCAGTTTTAGGAGTCCATGTTAAGCCTGAGAAGCAGCCCAATTTAATCCTATTTTTCAAGAATATGAGATGGAATAACATGATGGTCTTTACTGTGACAGTGCATTTAAGATGCTCATTCTGAACTTCATACTTAATTGTTTGCCAGTGGAAAGGAGATCTAACATTCAGTTAATATAATTGGTGGGGAAACCATCTGGGTAGAATTAAGAAATAGGAAATGGCATAAATGTTGTTGTATATTACAAACCACAAAACAGTGGAGATGAATTTATAATAGAATTTTGTCAGTTGGACAACGTGTTCACGTATTCCTTTGACACTAGCTGTAGTGAATTATCATAGAGGCATTGAAGTTTGTGTGTGGTCTGTGAGTTGGATCATCATCTTTTACAAAGAATTGCCATATTTCATCAATACTTGGAACAAAATCACTGAAAAAGTTGGGAACTGTGTAAAGTTCAAGAATACAATATAACTTGCTATATCTGAATAAAGACTGCAAAAATATTTTCCTCATTATTTTGTTTTAGACAACATCTATGCTAGAAGTTAGAAATCTCAGGAAGTATAATTCAAAATTATCTTCAAGATCATTATGACTTGCCCAAATATATTCCCTACTAGTTGAGAAACCGTACTGGAATTATATTTCTCAGATGCAGTATGGCAGAATACTTTGAATCAGTGCAGTATGGCATCAGTAGAAGGTTCTTGTATATGGGGCCTGTTCTTTTATCAAATCATCATCCCACTCCTTCAATGCTATAGCTGCCACGGTATTAACATGAAGGTAGAGAATTATGCATAAATGTCTATCAATTTTCTCTCTCTGATAAAAAAAAGTTCACTTTCAACATTTCCTTGTCCTTGGAAGATATTTTTAAAAATCTAAGACAGGACAATTTAGTATACCTTCTCCTCTATCCTTGTTGATTGCTCACTCTTGAGTAGCTGTCGAACCATCATCTCCTGTTTATCTTCTTCCTCCTTTCGTTTTTTTTCTGCTATTTTACGACGTTCTTCCGCCAACCGTGCAATTTCTTCATTTTTAATTCTTTGCTGGGGATGCATGTAAAATATTAAATTAAAACATTTAAAAGTTGCTTGAATGATGTTGCATAGCCTTCTTCCACCAATTTTTTGGTCTCAAATTTTAGATATTTCTCATAAGCAGGAGCCACTGACTTTGAAAATATCTTTATTAATATTCATAAGTAGCTTTTGTTTCAGCAACATGTCCAGGATGACAAAACTGATTCATTAGTTACTAACTTCGACCTACTATGATTATGCCATTCCTCAAAGATTTTATTAAGTAAGAGCACACTTGATGCTTACTTAGTCCATTTCAGCCACCTTAACTAATTCTCCCAAAACAGCAAGGCTATCTGTACTTGCTATTATACTCGGTAAAACTAACATTTTCTGATGGTAGCAAATGCATAAATCAGAAGTTGCTGACTAGTGTGATATTTTGGTCCTTCACAGACACTATACTTGCAGTCTTTGCCAATGGAATCTGCATGGATATCATGGTTATGACTAGAACCCAGAAGAATAGCCCATTATAATTTCTCCCAAAGACCTGGGAATCTTCGGCCCAGCTCTATCAGGAATAACTGAATTTTTAAAAATGCATAATATTTCATAAGTATTGAGCAACCTTGCCAACGCTGAAAAACACATCTAATGAAGATAAGGTCTCTTTCCTCAGAAGTAAATTCACATGCATATTTTTAAAAACGTATTGTGTTTTGCTTTTAAATGTCTAACATATAGTATACATTTCACTTCCTATATAAAGATATAAATGTAATTTACACTTCCAGCTTTTTATTCCTATTTTGCTACCTGTGAAGGTTTTCCAGTCTAGTTGAACAGTTTGTTATTTACTTGGCTTGAAAATGCTACAAATGTAATCTGGAACATTCCAAATTCCAACACTTTGAAACACATTGCTATAGATTGCTGTGGAGGTCTAGTGCACTATCTTAAAGGGGATCTTAAATCTATGTCTTTATCACATAGATTGGTTCTTGGTCAGTAAGAGGGTCACGGGATATGGGGATAAGGCAGGAGAATGTCTGTCTACTTTCACTGACTGCTGAACATGGACGCACAAACATGGATAATAACATTTAATCCGCAACACAATATATTAAGAACAAGGAAAGCAATGGCCTACTGGTAATATCGCTAAACTACTAATCCAGGGACCTGGGTTTGAATTCTCCCATGGCAGATTTGAAAGCAGAAGAATACCTCTTCTTCTTTACGGCGTTTCTTTTCTTGCTCTTCTTCAAGCTCTTTTGCAATTCGTGCCCTCTGTTCAGCTAGGCGTTTCTCTTCTTGTTGCTCTTCAAGTTTACATCTTTCACGTTCTTCCTCTGCCTTGCGTCGCTTCTCTTCAATCTGGAATACATTTTTAAAAACTAAATGAAAGCTCTTAAGTTATATTTTTTTTTGTTTAAACAAATCCCTATATTCCCCAACGAGGGGGTGGGGAGAAAATAAAATCACTCTAAAGGATGTTGTCCCTTAAATTTTCAAACTGATCATTTGATCGTTTCAACTTTGCTGCATCAAACATTCACTCATATTAATCAAATCTTCAATTCTTTGATTAATTTATCACAGGAACTAAAATATTCAGTTTTATTTCTGCTTTACAAGCAGAAAACTAATTTACACAGACATAACAACCAAATATAAAAACCACAGGGTGAAGGACATTCACATAAACTTACAAATGTCTAACTTTATTTCCTGAAAAATAGAGATAAAGATTTGTTCATTCTTAAAATATTTTCTGAATTTAATCAATTTCAGAAACTGAAACAAAAGAATCTCAAGTATTCTCCAAATGTTACGCACTTTCATAGCAAATAGCAAAACCTGTAATAATAATCCCCCTTACCTAAAACGAATATACTCTGCCTTTAACATTCCTCTCCGGACTTATGGTGTAATGAGGAAAGTTAATACTCAATTTGGGTTTTGTGGCAGGTTCAGTGACCATTTTCAGTTATAGGAGTTGTAAACTGCAAACTAGCTTCCCCAAACTACCCCTTACAGATTATCTTCAAAAATCTTAACTAGCAATCAAATCTACTGAAGTTGCAAGCAAGCAGTCAAGTTTACAATGTATTCAAGTTTCAACACCACTTCTAATTTATCCATTAAAGAGAAGCAGCTTCTCTGCGGCATTAACCTTTCAGATAAACATTCATCAATCTAATTTGTTTGCTTAAAAAGCCAAAGAAATATGGATGCTATAAACCAGAAACAAAAACAGAAATTGCTGGAAAAACTCAGCAGGTTTGGCAGCATTTGTGGAGAGATTCAGAAGGATGGTCACTGGACCCGAAATGTTAATTGCTTTATCACCACAGATGCTGTCAGACCTGCTGAGTCTTTCCAGCTATTTCTGTTTTTGTTTCTAATTTTATTTACTTCTTGTTAAAATGAAGAGTGGGGGATATCCATATTTAAAGAGAGATTAGCAAATTAGCATTTGTTGCACATTTCTTTATCTAATTCCCTGGCTGACAAAAATTGCCTCAGGAAGTTGGAGCATACTTGTGTTTCATAGAGATCAATTTATGAATCAAAGCAGAATTCATGGTATAGTATTAGTAACATATCGACTTAGAGCAATCATCAGGTTGTTTTAAGATATCAGTCTTTGGTAGTCCCTTGGGATCGGCATAGAACGTTCAGACCCGGAGGTGATTAAATATCCAACACTGGAGGGGAGATTGGTGGTGTTTGATGAGGGAATGGGTGGGGTGCTCAGGTTTTCGCACTCTACTTCCACTGTTTGCACTTGGCCTCTACCCAGAAAGGCTCAAAATGATTGGCATCTTCTTAGACTTCGCCTATTTGGGTGATCTTGGGCAAGAGATTCTTACCAATCAGTGAGGAGGTTACATTTCTCAGGGAGGTTTTGAAAACATCCTTGAAGCACTTCATCTATTCTCTTGATAACCACGCGATGTGATGAAAGTCAGTGTAGGCAGTCTGTCTGGGGAGTCTTGTGTTGTGTAGGTGGATGATATAACCCATACAATGCAGCTAACTGACAGGAACTAATGCCTCAATGCTGGAGTTGATGTCCTCTCTAATGTGAGAGAGGACACTGACATTGGAGCATCTATCCTGCACTGAATTTGTAGAATATTGTAGAGGTAGAGGTTTTGTTGGTGATATATCTGTAAGAATGTACACTATCCATGCATCCAACACAGAGGAGGGCAAGTAGTACTGCTGACCTGCAGACCACAAGTTTGGTGGCATCACTTTTCCTCCGATAACTGAAGGCTGCACTAGCACACTGGAAGTGATGCTGAGTTTTGTTGTTGATGTCCTCCCTTGCTAAGGAGGAGGCTCCTGAGATGTAATAACTGATCCACATTGCACATTGGCTCACCATGGATCTTGACAGTCAGGGAGCAAAATTGCAGAGGGAGTAGGCTGATAGAGGATCTTAAACAGAAGTTGCTGGAGAAGCTCAGCTGGTCTGGCAGCATCTGTGAAGAAAAACAAGTCTGAATGTTCTGAGGAAGGGTCACCGGACCTAAAACGTTACCCTTGAATTTTTCTTCACAGGTGCTGAACTTCTGCAGAAGCCAAATTTAAAGAGAATATTCCATAATCCTTTCAGGTTGTGAAAGTCAAAGATATACCTGAGGTAATAGAAAGCCATATAGAGATTGCTGCTGCCTTCTGCACTTATCTTGGGGTTGTCCTACTGTAAATATTATGTCCACTGTGCTTCTTCACACTGCGTTGTGACTCAGAAGTTCGTCAGCAAATGTAAGGAAGCAATTGAAGAGGATTCTTGCACTGATCTTCCCCATAATTGTAAATCAGGTTAATCTTCATTTTTAAAGATGATCACAATTACAGCATCAGATCTCCTGGCTTACTCTCCTCGTACCAGATGAGGTCACATATATGAATCAAAAGTGCCTCCCCATTGTTGGATGGACTTGCAATCTGATGTTGGCCTAGGTTGTGCTGAAATGGTAGCAAGTAACGTTGTGAGATGAGGTCAAGAGTAGTCACATCAAGGACTAAGTCTTACTTGAGGAGATCATCAAAGTGCTCCTGTCAATGAGCACTGACTGCCTCGGCATCCTTGGAACATAGGAATTAGGAGAGGGAGGAGGCAATTCAGCTCTTCAAGCCCACTCCGCTATTTAACATGATCGTAGTTGATCTTATCCTGGTCTCAACTCCATTTTCCTGCATGCTCCCACAGCCCTTCATCTTGTTCTTCTTCAGAAACACACCTATTCCTTCTTGAATATGTTGATTGATTCTGCCTCCTCTGCTTTCTGGGGCAGTGAGTTCCACAAATTCATAACCCTCTGAAAGAAATAGTTTCTCCTCATCTCAGTTTTGAACATACCTCTTCTCACTCTACATCTATCACCTCTTGTTCAAGACTGTCTCACAACTTGATAGTACCACTCCATTCTTAGTCTCAGTGGAATATGTGCTTGGCTAGTAGATGGTCTTGACTGCACTAAAGAAACCACATGTCATGGCTGACATCAACTGATGTTTGTTTTCCTACATTTTCCTTGCCACTCTGTCTGCCATTTTGGCCCACTATCCTCCTCATTCTCCTTTCTGTCCCTGCTGTTTCTGCTCTGTTCCAGGGCCCATTGTCCCTCTTTTACGTTCCTGAAGTTTCTCCTTCTCGGATTTGGACTAAGATTCCAGAGGTAGTGTATAATTATCCTTAGATCAAATGGAGAGAGTTCTCGAATCAAAATTTTACAAATATCAGGAAATGGTAAATTATTTATAGTGGGTAGTGGATGTGTTACTCTTTGATCCTAGGTACATCTCCATCTAAATGTCAAGTGAAATGCAGCAGCTCCATAATCAATACAAGACGTTTGGCAGTCAGTAACTCAGTTGGCCGAACAGCTGGCTTGTAATGCAGTGACGCCAACACAGTGGGTTCAATTCCCACACTGGCTGAGGCTATCATGAAAGTGCGCCTTCTCAACCTCGCTGCTTGCCTGAGGCATGGTAACCTCACCACCAGTCACCTCTCTCTATGACAGAGCAGTCCTATGATCATGTGAGACAATGGCGACTTTACCTTTACAAGTTTACTAACATGGCACACAGTAAACTGAGTTTTAACAAAAGTAGTTCCAGCTCAAGAATGGAATGCATTGGACAGCAATTTTTGACCTACTGGCTCCTTTGCAGCACAAAAGGCACACAAGAGGAACAAAAGAAGGCACCTGCGAAGACCTTTCAGGTAACAATATGGTTTAGGATATTCTGATACCACTTATACCAGAAGAAGCAATAGGCACAAGCCATAGCTGTGGAAACTTGACTCAACTTTACAGCCTAAAAAGTTGTGTTTGTGCATCACCCTAAATAGTCAAAAAGATACTGCATACTTAACAAACATTATTGTCTAAAACCGTATGCATAATAGGTGAAAAACTAATGCTGTGTTCCGTACTGCAAAAAACCAGATCAAACTCTGTTCCGAAACCAACCAAAATTAAACAACTACAGCAATAATTTATGTCAATTCACAAATGCTTGCAACACATAATTTTGTCCTCAAATAACCTCTGGGTGGAAGGGAAAGGGTAAACAGGAGCCCTGATTCATGATTGTCCCATAATTCTATAGCTGCAAGATTGTCTGAAAATACTAAATGGTCCATTAAATTGTTGTTGGGTTGATGAATGAACCTATTCGAGCTATGTGGAAGATGCATAAATGAGGAAAATAGTAACTTTGGATATGTCCTAAATTAACTGCTCAAATAGATCAAAGGTAGTTTTGTATTAATTTTTTTACATAAAAACACAACATTTTGTTTTTTCAGGAGTAAAATGGTTTTAAATGATGTGTCTAGATTATAGCTGAACACATCAGTCTGGATGTACTGAAGTTTCAAACCAAATGAAAAAAAATCTATACTACTTCAGTCCTAATATGAAGTTGTTAAGAAATTCAAGTCCTAGTTTGACACAAGGAGATTGTTAACAATTAACTTAGCCACACAGATCAAAAACATCTCAGTCCTAATTTCGAGTCTATGATATGTTAAGTAACAAAAGCAGCAATGCAGGTGGTGAGACTGGGCACAGGATCAGACTGAGAGCAAATCAAAAACAACCTGGGTTTTAATTCTTATCATTGTCTAACGCGCCACAGCTTAAATATGTACATGTGTATCTCATACAAGAGTAGAATCTGGGTTTGGTACTGAAGTGCATCAGTGCACCATAACTCACCCTTAACATTCATATTGGAACAAAACCCAGTTACATGAAGTACAGAGGGCAAATTACAAACAAGGCCTGTAACTCATGAAGAAATCAAGGTCTTCAGGAATAGAGAAGGAAGAAAACTGGTAAGAAAACGTCAATATATTCAATTATATTCTACTTAATATCAGCAGTAGCTTCTCTTGTATTGTGTGCAACTGTCAGAAGACACCCTTGACTACTTATCCAGATTAAGCAGAACAATGATAGTTTGAAATGAAGCAGGAAAGCGTAATAGTTCAATAGTGTACAAAAAAATTTCAACTGTATTTACTTGTAAGCGTAGGTACTCTTTGTACTTCTGCTGCTCATTAACTTTTTTTTCAAATTCTGGTTCACAGACAGGATTTCCATGGGAAAGTTGTGTTGTATTTGCAAGTGTAAATCCTACAAAAAAAGAAAAATACTAAAATGACTAAATGACTCACCTTCAAAACATCTGGAAACAGTTAAAATAAGTGAACAAATGATCTGAATCATTTAAATTGATCAAGGTATTTGACTTACATCAAAAAAGTCAGTCTTTGGAACTTTGAAATCATCTGAAGCCTACATAGAATCAAAGATGATAGGAGCAGGAATAGGCCATTAGACACCTCAAGCCTGCTCTGTCATTCAATATAATAATGGCTGATCATTGAACTCAATACCTTAATCCTGTCCTTCCCCCATAACCCTTGTTCCCTTTAGCCACAAGAGTTATATCTACCACCTCCTTGAAAACACTATTTGATTTCATTTGTTTGATTTATTGTCAGATGTACCTAAGCACAGTGAAAAGCTTTGTTTACGAGCAGTACAGGCAGGTCATAGTAAGCAAGAACATACAAATCATAGGGTGGAAAAGAAAACTAGACAGAGGCATACAAGTTACATCACACAGGGTCACGCTCGGCAAGATCAACATTAGCAAGATCAGCAATATTTGAAGTTACAGAGTCCATTCATTAGTCAAATAGGGCAGGGAAGTAGCTATTTTTGAACCTGCTGGTGCGTGTGTTCAAGCTTCTGTATCTTCTACCTGACGGAAGAGGTTGTAGGATGTTGGCAGCCTTTCCGTGGCCATGGGCCGTGTAAATGGAGTCCATGGATGCAAGGTTGGCTTCTGTGATGGTCTGCGCTATGCAACAAACTTCTGTAGTTTCCTATGGTCCTGGGAAGAGCAATTGCCATACCAGGCCGTTATGCACCCGGACGGTATCCTTTCAATGGTGTATCTGTGAAAGTGGTCCGGGTCCTTATGGACATGCCAAATTTCCTGAGCTGCCTGAGGAATAACAGGCGCTGTTCTGCCTTCTTGACCATCACATCTACATGCGAAGTTCAGGAGAGGTTGTTGGTTATCATCACTCCTAGTAACGTAATGCTCTCCATCTTCTCAACCTCAGCTCCGTTGATGTAGATAGGGGCATGTTCTCCTCCGTTCTTTCTGAAGTCAATGATCAGTTCTTTAGTTTTGTCAATGTTGAGAGAGATTGTTCCCATTGCACCATGTCGCCAAGCCCTCTATCTCCTTTCAGTGTTCTGAACTCATTGTTGTTTGAAACCCATCTACCATGGTGGTGTTGTCAGCAAACTGGTTGATGGCATTCATTCAGAATTTGGCAACAGAGTCGTGGGTGTACAGGGAGTGCAGTAGGGGGCTGAGAACACATTACTGGGGGGGCTCCCGTGTTGACTGTCATCATGGAGGAGGTGCGGTTGTCTATCTTCATGGACTGTGATCTGTGGTCAGAAAGCTGAGGATCTCATTGCAGAGGGCAGAGCCAAGACCTAGGTCTCAGAGGTTTGAGATCAGTCTGGAGGGGTTAATGGTGTTGAAGGCAGAGCTGTAGTCAACGAGCAGGAGTCTGACATAGGTGTCCTTGTTGTCCAGATGTTTCAGGGATGAGTGCAGGGCTAGGGAAATGGCATCTGCTGTGGGTCTGTAATGTCAGTAGGCAAATTATAGAGGATCGAGGTAGGCTGGAAGACTAGAGGTTGATGTGGGCCATGACCAGCCCTTTGAAGTACTTCATGATTACGCAGGTCAGAACAACTGGGCGGTAGTCATTAACACACATTGCATATGCTTTCTTAGGTACTGGGGTGATGGTGGTCTCCTTGAAGCAGGTGGGGACTTCAGCTTAAAGGACGAAGAGGCTGAAGATGTCGGTGAATACCTCCACCAGTTAGTCCACACAGGATCTAAGTGCTCAGCCAGGGACACTGCCCAGGCCTGTTGCTTTCCTTGGGTTGACTCCCAGAAAGACCAATCTGACGTCTGCAATGGTGACAGTGTTCAAGGGCGCATCCGGGGCTGTCAGGACAGGTGACACCACACCAAACCAAGTGTAGAAAGCATCAAGTACAACAGGGAGGATGTGTCTTTGCCCGCTATCTTGCTCTGCTTCATTTTGTATGCCATAACGTTGTTTAGGCCTTTCCACAGGCGGAAGGAGTCTGTATGGTTGGTTTGGGTCTCCAACTTGGTCCGATACTGCCTATTGGCATCCCTCATGGCTTTGTGGATGGATTTTCTATACAGGTCTGGGTCGTCTGACATGAATGCTGCGTGTCTGGTCTGGGAGTGGTTTTCCTGGTACATCCAAGGTTTCTGGTTGGGGAACGCCCAGATTGACTTCGTTGGTACACAGTCCTCCACGCATTTGCTAATGAAGTCTGTGACAGTGGTGGCATACTCGTCTCGGTTTTCTGCTCAGTACCTGAATAAGGTCCAGTCCACCGATTCCAAGCAGCCCCAGAGACGGTCTTCCGTTGCCTCGGATCCTCCCATTTCGGCTTCTGCGTGAAACTGGGAGGAGGAACACAGTGCTGTGATTTAATTTTCTGATGTTTTGGCCTCAACCACTTTCTGTGGTAGTGAATTCCACAGGCTGACCACTCTCTGGTGAAGAAATTTCTCCTCATCTCAGCCCTAAAAGGTTTATCCCACACCCTTAGAATACGACCACTGGTTCAAGACTCCCAAATCATTGGGAACATCCTTCCTGCATCTAACCTGTCTAATCCTTTTAGAATTTTATAGATTCCCCCCTCATTCTTTTAAACTCCAGTGAATACAATTCTAAACAATTCAATCACTAGTTGATGGTATATAAATCGTAGATGACTATATAAACGTGAAAAAGTTTATTTTGTTCGTTCAATGCTGTGGAAACTTGTAGCTTTTAACTGTTAGTAGGTGTCTGGAATTTTAAACCTTGTCTACTTCAAAGAAGTACATTCAAAATACAGATGTAGTGGTTATGATGCAACGTGTGTGATTATGCATATTAGATATATATCATTTATTTTAGATATATATCATTTATTTTAGAGTTTTGGATTTTGAACTAGTAGCATGCGGACTTTGCTTTAGGTGTATAAGTGAGTTTAATAATTAACTTGTCAGTCTTGCTGGATCCATGATTTCTTTTAGACCAGTATAAGAGCGTATGGTCCTGGAATGTTAATGGTGATCTGTTTCCATCGAAAGAGGTTTTCACTCAGTGAGAATAAACATTGAAAAGCATTAGCTTGCTTTCAGTTTGGAAGAATCAGGAATTCATTTTTCCTTCTGCTCAGGCCAGAACCCATAGATTGGAAGCTTTTGGATTCAGTTTGCATAAGTTCTGGCTTAGATGTGAGAACAGTTTCTGGCGCAGAAATAAGTTGGATCTGAACAGTTAGGGAGTAGGTTACCTCAGTAAAGAACCACCCACACCTTTGAAATCGAACATCGCCACATTTGACAATGCATAAAATACTTGCTGCGTTCATTATGACACATTTTGACATGATAGAAAATATTACATTGCAATTTAGTTGCAAATTCACTATTCAAGGGTCTCTGCCCATAACACATAATTTTAGACTTTGACTCGAGATACTTTCTCACAGTATGTGCCTTTGACCATTACTATAGACACAACATTGTTCCTTACACAACCAATGTGTTGCCTTAATTTGCTGAACAGCTAGCTAATTTGTAGCAAGGTTAGGTTTGTCCTGAGATGTCACTAGTCAATTTCAGATTGCTGCAGAACAACCACTTTGCTTAACCATATTATAACTTTAATCTGTAGATGGTTAGGTGAAAAACATGATGCTCTCTCTCATTAATGGATTGTCATCAATGTGGTTCTCCTTCAGCGCTGCACTCCAATGTTAGTCTAGGTTAAGTTCTCAAATCTTTGAGCTGGCCTTGAAACAAAGAGGCCACAACATTTTATGAAGTAAGTAGTTTTGCTGCAAGGATCAAACACAGGACCCATCCCCTGCATGGATGGAAAGCAGGACCCTGGGTAGCATTTTATATGCAGTGGTCAGTTAAGAGACGTTGCAGGACTGCAGTCCAATTAAGGCAGAAGGCACATCTCCAAAAGCTGTCAGTCCTTCACTGGAGTTAAGAACTCAGCAGCACAACCAACCAGAGCAAGAACAAGAAGGACATCAGAGTAATGAGATCAGAAAACCGTAAAGGTAAATCTTCCTTTTGCTGCTCCCCAATGACTACTTATGCCAGTAGAACAGAATAGGGATAGAGAATATTTAGGAATTTTAAAAAAAAGGAAGTCTCCCTACCACAAAAAGTGAATCTTACATTCACATTTATTTTCAATTATTACTAGCACATGGAATTACCTTGGATTTTCTCTTGAGATGCATTAGCATCTGGTCTGGTTAAATTTGGGTTACGAGAACCCACAGCTTTAGAATCCCGATTTCCTTGAGGAGGATAATCCCTGTACGCATCTTCATTCTGCTTATGCATTTTCTTTAGATCGGCTGTACGATAACACCAAATAATTAAAATAAATCATTTCAGAATATAGTAAAGCAGAATCATGAATTATAGATTTGCCTCACAACTTTAACTGAAAATCAATTAAAGATGGAGTTATTAACTTTCACCTCTTGAACCTGTTTGAATCCAGTTCAAACTGAAGGAATACAAGACTCCATTCAGTTGCATGGGAAACTTTACACCAATTTTTCAAGGGTGTACACCTACTTATCCATATATAATTCAGCAATGTCACTCAAAGCTACATGCTGCTATTTTTCAAAATCTGCAGTAAAATTAGTTTCCTGCGTAGATTAAGGCATTTTATTAGACAAAGTGTAGGAAGTGAGAGATTTGAGATGGGCAATGCCAGGGCGTTTATATGAGATGGCCCAGTTCACCAATACTTCATGATTATATGCCTCAGCTTATACAGCACAAAGCTGCACCAAGAAAAAACAGAATTCATACTGAGAAGATTTCCTTCTGCATCCCTTAGAGGTGCACCACCACCTCCTCTTCCCCATGGATTGTAAATTCTCATTTCCTCTTCAAGTTTTGCATCATATCTCTCCTTCTCTTCCTTTTCTTTTCTCTTCCTCTCTTCCCTTTCTTGCATCTGTATAAATATGTATCAAGCATTTAATAATTGTCTAATTTTATTTTTTTAGAACAGCTAAACACAAATTATAAACAGGAACAGTACTTTTTGAAATTTGCAATTGTGAAAAAAGAGGGCAAATATATGAAACGTGAGTTAAGGACAATCATTTAAAAAAATGCTGTACTTACTACACAAACTACAAACTTTTCGTAAAGTTAAGTTTGTTAACGTGATGAAGTGCTTAAGGTTTACTCCCAGAAACAATATTCCAACGCAGAGCTATCAATTGACAGATAACTGCCACTGGGCGGTAGCTCCTTGTGTAAGTCAGCTCATTAACTAACTCAATTTTGAAATTTCTATGTCAACCTAAGGGAATGCAGAGAGAGAGAGAGAGAGAGAGACAGTCCTCAAGGAGAGGTATGCCGAGTTTGTAATTCAGTTCATTTGGGAACCCGTTTGAGGGGAAAGAGGTGCTTTTATCTCCTACGTTTTGTCAGCCAACCTCTAGAAGTCACGAGGTACTTCCCAAAAATAGAGGCAGTGGCAAGAGTTTGAAGAGGTGGGTGGGGACTGGTGAATGTATCTCTGCATTCAGAGCATTCCAAAGGACACCAAAGTGTGATGTAACAACAGCAAAAGCAAGGACTCGCTCATTCAGAACATTTTCTCTTTTATCTAAATTAGGGAATTTTAATTTGGGCCAAGTATTATATTAATTTAAGTAACAATAACAAACAAGATTAGAAGCATTTATAAAATTTTAATTTTAAAAGTAATTGATTCATTATTTTAAACACAAGGATGGCAAAGTAGATTTGATGCAGCTGAAGTATGCACAACAGATTTGTCTGCAGTAAGCACCTGCATTTTGCAGAATATTGAGCTCAAACTTAATAAGTTGGAAACTGAGCCTCAGAGCATCTGATGCATCAGGGACGAGGAAAGTTAGCTAAAATCTTATTCCATAAGGCAGTCACACCCCTTTAGGCTCAGTTCTTTTGATTTGGTCCATGGTCAAGGAGTAATTTGTGACCTTTAAGCAGGACAGCAGGTATAGAGTTAGAAGGTAGGAAAGAGGTTCTGCATTAAGAATATGAGCAGCTAGGGGCTAAACTAAAACACAAACCTCAAAAGGTAATAATCTTCTCGATTATTTTCTGAGACACAAGAAAATTGGCACTTCTTGAACCTGGAATCAGAAGCGGTCTCCCGGCCTGGCGTAGGGGTCTTTCGGCAGCCTGTGGCAATCTTTCAGCCTGGCATGGCCTTAACATGGACTTCCAGGCTCAACATGATTCCAGAGTGGTGTCCTGGCCTCGAAAGCACGGTCTGGAGTCAAGGCCCGGTACAGACTGGAGGCTAGATGCCGGCGTGAACTGGGTTGGAAGGATTGTTGTTCTGAACTATTTATTTCTCTATTTTCTAATTTATTCCTGAGATCTGTAATGCTAAACTTTTTATTTCTTTAAGTTTTTATTCTAAGAACTTATACTGAAGAATCTGTAACTTGGTATCTTATAAATAAGATGGCGCTTTGAGTGGCGATCTGTAAACCTTTCACTGTACTCATTTGAGTACATGTGGCATTAAAGCTAATTCAAATTCAAATACCATTCTTGCCCTATTCTATAGGAAAGATGTTGTTAAACTTGAGAGGGTACAGAAAAGATTTGCAAGAATGTTGCTGGGACTGGGCGATTTGAACTAGAGGGACAGGCTGCATAGGCTGGGGCATTTATTCCCTGAAGCATGGAGACTGAGGGGTAACCTTACAGTGATTTATAATATTATGAGGGCTATGAATATGGCGAATAGCCAAGGTCTTTTTTTCCCAGGGTCAGGGAGTCTAAAACTAGAGGACATAGATTTAAGATGGGAGGGAACAGATTTTAAAAAGGACCTGAGGGGTTACATTTTCATGCAGAGGGTGGTGTATGTATGGAATGAGCTGCCAGAGGAAGTGGTGGAGGCGAGTACAATTACAACATTTAAAAGGCACCTGGATGGGTATATGAATGGGAAAGGTTTAGAGAGATATGGGCCAAATGGGACTAGGTCAGATTGGAATGTCTGGCCAGCGCGGATGAGTTGGCGTGAAGAATCTGTTTCCATGCTGTATGACTCTATGAGGTCAAAATGACTAAAGATAACTGAGAAAACAGATTAAAAGAGGGACAAAAGAGAAACAATCTAAAACTTAAGATATTTACTCATTCTCAGCTAAGATATTCCAATGTGAAAAACTCTGAAAAGGATGAATCATCTGGGGCTAAGAAAATTAAAAGACAGCACAATAATGCAAAGATTAGCAACAGATCAAAAAATTTAGTCTAATTTTAGAAATCAGCAAGAGACACTACTCTTGCAGCCATGGTATTTAAATGGGTGGTCAAGTTAAGTTTCTGGTTACTGCTAACTCCCAAGATATCGCTGATGGTGGGGAATTAGTCATGACACTGAACACAAGGGAGGAAAAGTCAGTTTGTGTCTTGTTGGAGATGGTCATTGCTTGGCATTTGTGTCACAAATGTAACTTGCCATTCATTAGTTGTATGCAAGCAAATGCTGTTTTAGCATTTGATGCATCGTGAATTCAATCATTGGCAAATATTCCCATTTCTGACCCTATGTTAGACAGAGATCATCAATGAAACAGCTGAGCAAGAATGGATCTACAATACTTGCATGCCTGAGGATGTCTTGCAGTGATCCCTTGTAGGTCTGCAAAGACCACAATCATCTGTCTTTGTGCTAGACATCAAGCAAGAGATACAGCAGGTGGCTGATGCAATACTGCCCATTGAACGCTACTATCCAAAATTAATTTCTGTTCCAATTATTTTCCCTTTATGAGGTTAGAGGGCTATAAAGCACTTGTACAATGCTTTGACTCATTTTTACTTTGAGAGTCAAAATAACTTAATTAATTAAAGGCATTTATTGCACCTTGGCCATATATTTGTCTATCTAACTTTTAATATGTATAGTAGTAAGAATGTTTTTTATTTATATTTGCTTCATTCTGATTTCTGGTGAACGTGTCGCTTTTACTAGGTTGCATGTGATTCTGGCTAACATGATGAATCTATTATTGATAATGGGACTTCAGTGGCTACAACTTTTACTTATGCTTTACTGGTCTATATCCCTTCATTCATTCTGACACATTCATCATTGTTTTGGCACTGGGAAGAATTGAAATGATCTAAAATGCAACCACTTGTATCCTATTCTGCACTAAATCACACGGGTTCCATCACATTCTACCACTCAAAATATTAAATTCAGATTTGAGAATTACATTACATTCTACAGCTAAAAATTAATTTTTGTCTTCAGCACCACAATGTACTGCTTTTGGCGAGTAGGATAACACAAATAAAAACGTGTGTTTTTGTCAATTGTCCTAAAATTTTCTACCAAATCACATGTACTAAATTGAACCAAAAACTATCAAATTAACAGACATTTTTTTAAAATTATGTGCATTTTACCTGCTTTTTCAGAGAGTCCTGGTAACTTTGTGTACTTTCTTTTGATAAAACTTTTTTTTGTTCTGGTAGAGATCCAGCAGCTATGTTTCTGACATTAGTAGCATCATGTGCATTTGTTGTACTGCAAAACAAATTAAGGCTTAATGTTGTGTTTGTCTGTTAAACTCTCAAACTTCTACCTAAATTTCACAAGATGATAATATTCAACTTGACAGTTAGCAACTTTGGAAAAGTAATTTTATCTCATTATACGTAGCATCAGATTAATACTTTACCATTCAATAAGTGAATACAGTTGTATCAGACTATCGAATAAAATGATCTTTCTAAACTATGTGCCAAGGCAGACAGTACCTTCAAGTTCAATGCAACTACAATGGACAGCAGTAATTTAAAGTACAAATTATTACATATTGTCCCTGTCACACTACTTTTGATTTATCTTTGGGAGGCAGGAACAAAGATGTAATTAAGCATCTTGTATAAATTGCAAGATAGACAGTACAAAGATCAAAGTAATACATTTTAAAAACAAAATTTGAGAGTGTGGGGATGGAACTGATGGAAGTAAATTTAAGAAAAGTACCAACAAAAAGTAGAATAACAATGGAAAATGTTTGGGGTTGTGGGGGTGAATAGAATTCAGACATGTTCTAAAAAATAAGAACAAACTAGTTAAGAATGAGATTCTATGGTCATGTAAAGATGCGAAGATAAAAGTAAATCCAAAGAAAATACATACACAAAATACAGAAATAACAGAGGACAAGATGGTAAAAAAGAATATTTAGCAAAGACTGACAGTTAGAAACCAAAAGTGCAAATCTGAAATTAAAACATTAAAAAATACAAAAGTGGAGTGGCAGTATTAATCAAATAAATAATCAATAAATAGTTCAGAGGATTAAAGACAAAATCTATTTGGCTAGAATGAAGGAACAACATGAAACCTAATATGCTACTGGGGGTGTGTACACTAGGTCAGTACTTCCCAAACATTTTCCCGCCGTAAGGCAATTTTGAGACTTGTTTGAAAATTGTTGCAACTTCTCAGTGAGAGTTGAGAAAGCAGTCCTAGTAGAGAGGAGGCAAAGTTGTTGCAAGTTGGTCAGCTCCCTGGCAGCAAATACTGCATCAGACCTCATGCAATTTCAGCTTGCAACACAATTTAGGGTCCTGGCCACCACTTTGAGAAGCTCTGCTATAAGCTGCCAAACACTGTAAAGGAAATAGAGTAGGGAGGTAAAGAGACAAAGGAATTCCTGAAATATGCAGACAAGGATGTTCCCAATCCAAGGACAAAGGAAGCAGTGCTGGATCTGGTTCTGTGGAACAGCTAGAGCAGCATTTATTTGAATACTATTGATAATATCTTTACATTTATAACAGTTAAGGAAAAGGAGCAAACAAATGTAAAAGCATACAACTGGATGAAAAAGATGTGACCAAGATGGATTGGAATAAAAATTGATAGACAGAATAACAACTGAATACTGGTAAACTTCAAACATCTCCAGTAAGGAATTGGCACATTATCACAAGGAGGGAAAGAACAACAAAAGCCCTCTGGATGACTAAAGATAGTAAGAACTTAATAACACAGGGAAGGCAGGCTAATGACACCTCGGACAATTAACTATACTCAAGGTCAAGATGGACAGATTTTTACTCAGTAATGGAATCAAGGGTTATGGGGAAAAGGCAGATATGTGGAGTTGACAATTATCAGATCAGTGATCATCTCATTGAACAGCGGAGCAGACTCAATGGGCTAAATAGCTATTTCTGCTTCTATGTCTAGGGTATTGTAATTATAAACACAGAACTAAGCTGAGTACAGAAAGTACTGAGAACTGAAAAAGGAAACAAGAGGGTTAAGGAGAGAGTAAGAGAACAGATTGGTGACTAACATAAATGCAAATGCAAAAGTATAAGTATGTAAAAACAAAACTGTAATGAAAGGAAGAAATGGGACCAATTAGTGATGATAATGCAATCCTCTTATGGAGGCATAGAGTGCAACTATAACACTAAATTAGTACTGTCCATCTCTGTTCACTAAATAATTAAGGTTAGTGGCGATATCATAGTAAATGCGATGAGGGCAGGGGGAGGAAATAGAGAAATTAGAAAGGATCAGAATAGAAGAATGGCAAATTAGGTAACCTTTCAATCCAAATGGGATCCATCCTAGATTTCTAATGAAAGAGTGGGAATTATAGATGTTCTGGCCAAAATGGGCAAGTCTTAATATTAGTGTACAGGCTACTGGCGAGACCAAAATGGAGGTATTTTGTACAGTTTTGATCATCTTATCTAAGGAAGCATATACTTGCATTGGAAACAGTTCAGAAAAGGTTCACCTAGCTGAGTCTTGACATGAAGGATTGTTTCATTAGGAAAGAATGTGCCGATAATCAACGGAGTTTAGAAGGGATGATCTAATTGAAACATTTAAGGTTTTAAGTAACTGACCTCCTCATTCCCCAAAACTCGTCCACCATTAAAAAACACAAGTCAGGAGTATAATGGAATAGACCTTACTTGCATGGATTGGTGCGGCTCCAACAATATTCAAGAAGCTTGACACCATCCAGGATAAATTAGCCCTCTTGATTGGCACTACATCCACAAGTATCCACTCTTTCCACAACCAATGCTCAGTAGCAGCAGTGTGTACTATCTACAAGTTGCATTACAGAAATTCACTAAAGATCCTTAGACAGTACCTTCCAAATCCATAACCACTTCCACCTACAAGGACAAGGGCAGTAGATACACGGGAACACCACCACCTGCAAGTTCCCCTCTAATCCACTCACCATCCTGACTTGGAAATATATGGTCGTTCCTTCACTGTTGCTGGGTCAAAATCCTGGAATTCCCTTCCTAAGAGTTTTGTGGGTCAGGCTACAGCATGTGGATTACAGAGGTTCAAAAAGGTAGCTCACCACCATCTGTTCAAGGACAACTAGGGACAGGCAGTACAATGTGGGCCAGCCATTGATGTCCACAGTCCACAAGTCAGTGAGAAAAATAGAACATAGAACATAGAACATAGAACATAGAACAGTACAGCACTGTAAAGGCCCTTCAGCCCATGATGTTGTGCTGACCTATTATCCTACTAAGATTAATCTACCCTGCATTTTACTATCCTCCGTGTGCCTTAAAAGGGAGTGGCTTAAAAGTCTCTAAAGTAACTAACTCCACTACCACTGCCGGCAGCACATTCCACACACCCACCACTCTCTGTGTGAAGAACCTACTTCTGACATCTCCCCTATGCCTTCCTCCAATCACCTTAAAATTATGCCCCCTCATAATAGTCACTTCCGCCATGGGAAAAAGTCTCTGGCTATCCACTCTATCAATGCCTCTCATCATCTTGTACACCTCTATCAAGTCACCTCTCATCCTTCTTCACTCCAATGAAAAAAGCCCTAGCTCCCTCAAACTTTCCTCATAAGACCTGCCCTCCAGCCTAGGCAGCATCCTGGTAAATCTCCTCTGCACCCTTTCTAAAGCTTCCATATCATTCTTATTGAGGTGACCAGACCTGAGCACAATATTCCAAGTGTGGTCTAACCAGAGTTTTATAGAGCTGCAGCAGAACCTCACGGCACTTAAACTCAATTCCCCTGCCAATGAAAGCCAAGACACCATACGCCTTCTTTACAATCCTATCAACTTGGGTAGCAACTTTGAGGGATCTACGGACATGGACCCCAAGATCCCTCTGTTCCTCCACACTGCCGAGAATCCTGCCATTAATCCTGTATTCTGCATTCAAATTTCACCTTCCAAAATGAAACACTTCACATTTTTCTGGGTTGAATTCCATCTGCCACTTCTTTGCCCAGCTCTGCATCCTGTCAATCTCCTGTTGCAACCTACAACAACCCTCTACGCTGTCCACAACTCCACCAACCTTTGTGTCATTGGCAAACTTACTAACCCACCCTTCTACTTCCTCATCCAAGTCATTTATAAAGATCACAAAGAGCAGAGGTCCCAGAACAGATCCCTGCGGAACACCACTGGTCACCGAGCTCCAAGCTAAATACTTTCCATCTACTACCACCCTCTGTCTTCTATTGGACAGCCAGTTTTGTATCCAGACAGCCAAATTTCCCTGAATCCCATACCTCCTTACTTTCTTAATGAGCCTACCACGTGGAACCTTATCAAATGCCTTGCTAAAATCCATATACACCACATCCACTGCTCAACCTTCATCGATGTGTTTTATGATATCCTCAAAGAATTCAATAAGGCTTGTGAGGCATGGTCTGCCCCTCACAAAGCCATGCTGACTATTTCTAATCAAACTGTGCTTTTCCAAATAATCATAAATACTATCTCTCAAAATCCTCTCCAATAATTTGCCCATCACAGAAGTAAGACTGACTACCACAGTAAGATAAGTGCATGGATGCTTAAGTTAGCAAAAGCTCATCGAATTAGATGGCTTTTTCTGGAACATTACTGGGTCAGAAGGCTCTGTTTTCTTTCTTCTGTTTGGTTGCACAAGCAAAGGAATTGTTTGTGTCATCTGTGACAAGGTGGTTCCAGTAACTGCAGTTCAACAGGTCAACAAAATCTGACCACCGACTCATCAAGATCGTGTGAACAATGACAATGTCCCAAAAATACCGACTTAAAGTTTCGCATTGACATCTACCAGGGTCCGATTTGTTAGCTGTCCCACGACACAAGGACAGTGTCTACTCAATTTTACTTTTACTGTTCTATATTTTTTACCAACTTTTTGTGCTCAGATCCAAACAGATTTGCAAAATAGCTAGTGAAAATATGTTACTATTTCCTTGTCCATGCTAAGGTAAGAATACCTGCCATATTCTCCATTTATAATAAAAGGAAAATATTGTGAATGCTGAAAATCTGAAAGAAAAACAGGAAACACTGAAGATACTCAGCATGTCTGGCAGCATCTGCAGAGACAAAAACAGAGTTAACTTTTTGAGTCCAGTATGATACTTCTTCAGATCTCATCACAAATGCTGCCAAACATGCCAGGTTTCCACAGCACTTTGTTTTTGTGTATTACATCTATATTCTAAAAAGCTTTATTTGACAATCAACAGTAAATCCAACTCCAAGGATTTACACCAATTGACAAATCAGAACTATGAACCTACTTTTCCTCTCTCGGTTACAGCTAAAAGCTGAGGGGATTCTCTTCCTGCTGCTAGAATTGCATGTGAGACAGATAATCTATTTTACTGAATTTGCCTTTTTCCAAGGGTGTGTTTATAGGATTTAACTATATTAGAACATTTATTGCTTAGTATTATTCTGCTAAGTTTTCCAATAGAGTTGTTATTCCAATTTCTTAAACAAAAACAGAAGTTACTGGAAAAGCTCAGCAGCTCTGGCAATATCTGTGAAGTCAGAGTTAACATTTCGGGTCCAGTGACCCTTCCTCAGAACCTGAGGAAGGGTATCCGAAACCAAAACGTTAACTCTCTGATTTCTCTTCAAAGATGCTGCCAGACCTGCTGAGCTTTTCCAGCAACTTCTGTTTTTGTTTCTGATTTACAGCATCCACAGTTCTTTCAGCTTTTATTCCAATTTCGTCTTTCTGTTGCTGTATTTTAGCTAGTGAATGAATAAAGTATTTTGTTTCAAAGCTGCTAGTTCGATCAAATTGTATCTAGAATGCAACATCTTACACTTATCTCAAAATAAGAAAAAGTTAGGGTCTAGACTTTCTTCTGAATATATTTTGAGGGGGCTTGGTCTGGTCCATAACAAACTTCATCTATTTTCAAAATTGTCACTGTTGACTGTCCCTCAATTTGAGGATGATAATTACTGCTTGTCTCAGTTTTCTGTCATGTCTTTCTGTATCTGAATTGAGCAATTCTCATCATGGGCTAATAGAACAGAACGCCTCGCAAGTTGGTAGGATCTCGAACAATGAATTTGCTTCCTTTTCCTTCCTTCTCTGCCACTGCTTGTCTCATAATTATCGCTTTTGAACTCAAAGCATGATGCAGTTTGACAGACAAGTTGCCACCGAACCTGACCAACAAATCATCAAGGTCGTATGAAAAATGACAGCGTCCGAAGGGCTCTACATTAAACAAAATCACAGGCTTCTCCGAGGGTCCATTTATCAAGTCCTGTGGCAATAAAAATTTGTCAACAGAGACAACGCTGTAAACGATGGAGTCCCCATTTAGGAATCTGATGCATCTGTTGCCTATGTGCAAAGTTGTCAGATACCAGTGCAGACGCAATTGGCTAAATGGTACCCTCTGGAAAACAACTGTAATTCTGTGACCTGTGTTAGCACAGTGGTTTCTTTGAGTGGCATCTGTCACTGTCAAAAATCAGAGACATTACAAGATAATCAAACACAATAAATACCTGCTAGGTAGCTAGATGGTCAGTGTTAAAAACGTATCAATTTCATCTGTTTGAAAATGATTACTCCATTTTCAAACAAATGAAATTGATTGCTGGTAAAGAAGTGTAGAGTAATCAATTTAATTGAGAAAACAGAAACATATTATAATAGAATGTAATGTTTGTTACAGTTTACAATTTTATCTTATTTACCTTTAAGAAATGTGCAGCATCAATACATATAATGAATTCTACTTGTCATTTTGCAAATCTTAGTTTAAAATCTGGTTTCCTCAGTTTATTGCAGCTGTTCTAATATGACAAATAATTGTCTGGTCTGGCAAAAAAGCTTAGTGTGCAAGCTGAAGATCAGTACAATTTAAGGGAGCATATTCATTCCATCACATATATGTCTATATATTCTCTTCTCCTTGATTAAGTCCTGGCGTTCACCTCCTGTATGCAACTATTAACCAAGCTACAGAAACATATTCTTCCTAGTAATGGTGCCAAATTTTTAATCCAGCCCATTTTAAGCACTTTGTGTTGTCCTTTGTTTTCGCATTTAATATCAGTCACTTGGAAAAAAGGTCTCTTTCAGTTAACATCTTTTAACGCCTCCAGTTGTCCTTAATTTTGGCGTTAATTCCCTTAGGACAATACATTTCATACAAACATAGTTGTCTCATCAAAAAATCTGGAATAAAGACAGTGACAGGTTGGGACATTCCTCAGTGTCTATCTGTATCACTAAGGAATTAACTGAAGTATGCAGAATATCAAAAAAAAAGCATTAAGAAGCAGAACTAATATTTATTCAATATTGTTGGAACTTACTAGAGATGAATGACCAAACGTTAATGTCAAACAATGCTGTACTGACCCATGCTTTGTCTGTGGAAGCTTCCCAACTACAATCAGATTGAAATTTTCTCCACTCTAGCAAGGACAGGTGAAGTGAGATCCCAGGTTGTTCAGTGCTGAACTAGTAGTTAAATTAATGCATAAAGCCATTCAAACACCAAGGTCTGGTGCATTTTCCTTTAGCCTTCCCTTGAAATCTCAGAGGAATCTTCTTGAACGTGTTTTGGTGAGTATAAACTCAAAAATAAATTTTCCAGGTCAAGTACAAAGAGGTGCCATATTTGAAAGAGAAGTCTTTAGGACACTGCTCATGACTATTATTTTGACAATTTCCCTTTTCTATTGTTTTCTTCTGCTAATCATCTCTAGAATACAGAAAGGGTGCAAGTTATCCTGTTCTCAGAACTGTAACCATGGTGCTGAGAAACAAAATTTTAGAACACATGCAAACAGTTGCATGAAGAATTTGGTTGCGCTTGACACAATACATCAAACATACAAGGAAAACAACAAAATAAAAATTAACATATAGTCTGTCATTCCAGGCTCATCATAAAGGACCCAATTCATTGCTATGTTGTGGTTAACTCATTAAAAACACCATGGATGGTGCAAATTAAAAACTTACAAGACTTGGTCGAAGGAGGAAACTTGTGGATAAACTTGCATTGGGATGTTAGTCAATCCAGTGGGAGAGTTGACCAAGGACAGAGGTTGTACTCCTATAACTCCTGGGCTGTCTATGTAATAAAGTAAAAACAATATTTCAGTATAGTTTTTGTAATTAAACAAAATATAAAACATGAACTCCATAGAACAACTGATAGGTAAAATACATAATTTTTTTAAAAGTATGAATCAGATAGGCAAATCTATTGAATAAACATTGTATTGCTGGAAATGTTAACTCGTATCAGAAAACAACAGGCTAATCTCCCAAATCTCCAATCTTGCTTACAGTGGAAACATGATGGTGAGCAAGTAAAATCTAATTTGATAAACTATGTTCCAAAAAAATCTATAATTTCTAATTGAGTCATAGAGTTGTACAGCACAGAAACAGGCCCTTTGGTCCAATTTGTCCATGCCGACCAGATATCCTAAACTAATCTCGTCCCACTTGCCAGCAATTGGCCTGTATTCCTCTAAACCCTTCCTATTCATGCACCTATTCGGGTGCCTTTTAAATGTTGTAATTGTACCAGCCTCCACCACTTCTTCTGGAAGCCCATTCCATACATGCACTACCCTCCGTGTGAAAAGTTGACCCTTAGGTCCCTTTTAAATTTTTCCCCCTCTCATCTTAAACCTATGTTCTCTACTTTTGGACTCCCCTACCAGGGGGAAAAGGCCTTGTCTACTCACCCTATCCATGCCCCTCATGATTTTATAAACCTCTATGCGAGCAGCCCTCAGCCTCTGGCGTTCCAGGAAAAATGCCCCAAGCCTATTCAGCCTGTCCCCATAGTCCAAACTCTCCAAACCCAGCATCATTCTTGTAAATCTTTCGTGAACCCTTTCAAGCTTAACAACATCTTTCCAACAGCAGGGAGAACAGAACTGAATGCAGTATTCTAAAAGTGGCCTAAGCAATGTCCTGTACAGCCACAACATGACATCCCAATTCTTATGCTTACTATCCTCTGAACAGGATCTCTGCTGGTGAAAGTAACCCCATATCCAGAGGTGCTGCTGAGATGTAACAGGGCAATTAAATCAGTTTCATTGTCCTACACTTCAAAATGAGAATTTAACAGTACAAACCAATTGCTGTTTGATCTCGGCTAATTTAATAATAGTGGGGATAGCCCATGGTTCACACCCCATCTAGTGCACATATCCCCGAAAAGATCTTCATTATGCTGTGACACAATATCAGAAATGATTTCTTTAGGTGCACCAAACAGACTGAATATGACACTCATGTCTGACACAGATGTGATTGAAGTGTTCCTTATCTGTTTCATAATTGATTATTTCTCCAAATTTCCAGTGTCTAAAATGAAGTAGTCCCCATTTATAGCAAATACATCAATAGCTACTTTGGACCTAGGAATTAATGGAATCTCACAAGTGTGTAGGGTACTTCATATTATTGTGGCTAGTGTCTGTGACTTGCCTCACAGTTAAAGTTTTCTTGTACATGAATGCTGCATCTTCTGAGGTACAATAACACATCACCATTGAAACTTACTTTGGCATTGAAGGGTCCAGGTACAATTCTGGACAAACTAAATGCATGTATTCTTAGTCTCTTCTGCTGCCATCTGGTGATCTCATAAATGATCACAATGGTAAGATTGAGACTTGGTTGTTCTGCCACTGCTGGTCTGCTTCTGACTACCAGTTAAAGTAGATGTCATTTCCATGCCAAATTGCCATAACTGCATTACATCAACACACTAAAGGAGGCGAGGGGAGGAGGCAGTCAGGGCAGAGATCAGGAACAGGGGAATGGAGAAACAGTCAGACCTGGGAATGAAAAGGGTGGGGGATATCCAACTGTACAGTTCCCCAGGAGTTAGACTTTCCTACAATTTCTGGATAACTACAATTAACAAACTAGTTGCAATATTATGTTCTACTATCCTATTTACTCGTCAAGAACTGATAACTTTCTTACACTGAATTTTGATTTTGCTATTTAAAACATTTTACAGTTTTATCTTATTTACAACTGATAATAGAATGGGGTTGAGGAACTTATCAGCCATGATTGAATGACGGAGCAGACTCAATGGGCCAAATGGCCTAATTTCTGCTCCTGTGTCTTATGGTCTTATAGACTCTTGAAGGGAAGTTAAAGTCCCTTAACCTCTGTTGCTTTGCTGTTGGTGATGAGCACGAACTGCTAGGGTGATGAAATGCAGGTCTCTGAATTTATCTGGAAGACAGTGAGGTTGACTTGAGGTTCCACAGCAGCCTCCAAACTGTTCATGGAGGCAGCCAGATGCTTGAATGTTACATGGTACAGGTTGTGTTGAACCTCTTCTCCAACCTTTGAGTCAGTTTGCCCAGTACCTCTGACAAAACTGCCTGTTCATGCTGTGTGCACTTGTGCATTTAGATGAAGTTATTAATAGTTGACACCATGGGATCCTCTCCTGCCTAGGGGTGAGCAGGTGCCTTGTTTCTGGCAGTCCTCTGAGTCCAGCCCTCTGAACGCCAGCGATTTGTGACATTTCTGCTTTGACTAACTGGAGAGACGTGGCAGTGATGTGCTCACTAGAATGTGCTGCTGACTTACTCAAGCTAACGTTCTCACCCAGCTATCTCTATGTGAGCTCGTGGAGAATGTAGGAGAAAATGCCAGCGTTTCCTCTGAGAGCTCTGTAGCTTAATCCTCAGAGGTGGAAGAGGAGCTGACTAGTCATGAGAGACTAGTCCTTTTACAAGATGATAAGGCATAGATACAGTGGATAGACAGAGACTTTTTCCCAGGGTGGAAGTGACTATTACGAGGGGGCATAATTTTAAGGTGATTGGAGGAAGGTTTAGGGGAGACATCAGAGGTAGGTTCTTTACACAGAGAGTGGATTTCACAAGCTTCAAAATCTCCCCTCCCCCTACCGCATCCCAAAACCAGCCCAGCTCGTCCCAGCTCGTGTGGAATGCGCTGCCGGCAGTGGTAGTGGAGTCAGATACTTTAGAGACTTTTAAGCGACTCTTGGATAGGCACATGGAGGATAGTAAAATGTAAGGTATGCAGGGTAGTTTGATCTTAGTAGGATAATAGGTCAGCACAACACCGTGGGCCAAAGGGCGTGTACTGTTCTGTTCTATGTTCTATAGCTGAGTCATATTTATACAAAATTCAAGTACAAAAATATCGATTGTAAGTATCAATTTAAGAGTATACAAGAGTATCAATTTCAGTCTCAATTGTAAACATGTGCAACAACAAATTGACATTAACCAGTGTAATAGGTTTCAATTAAACATCCAACACAAAAAACTCTTTAGTTTAATAGTGCTCATCAAGTACACTCACAGTATGCCAAGTTTGGATCCAAAGGATTTCTAGCACCATAATAATAATAAGCATTATCATAAGGTGTCTGGTAATGTTCCATCAGCACAGGTGGGGGAGGAGGGGGTGGAACCGTTGTGATGCTGCAAGTAGAAAAACATCTTAATCAAATTCTACATAGTAAAGAGATTTAAAATAATTAGTTATTTTTACGCCTATTTGAATTGGGTCTTTAAGTATTATTATTATCGGCAAGTTAATTAGTTTTGTTCTCAGATGTACAATAGCAAAGTAACATTAAATATTGTAATATATCACTCAAACAAAATTTGAAAAGTTAAAATATACTGTCACTGCTATTTATGTGCTTTTGCAAAACGCGGAACCCAGTTGAGAAAAATAATCATTACTCCAAAATTGTACTATACTATAAATGGTAACATTTCATATCTCTATTTAATTCACCAAATTGCCCAAAACTTTATTTATATCCAGAATTTGAGACTTCGGTTACTATAAATTCCCTTTATGGAGAGTATACATGGGTTTTACTAATTTTTGAGACACACACTATTCAAGTACAGAAAATTACATGAACAATATAGTATAGAAACATGTTGTTTGTTACAATTAGTCAATGCACTTCATATATGCCATAGATAGTAAACCAAATACTTAAATAGCTCAGAGATAGCAAGGACTGCAGATGCTGGAGTCAGAGACAACAAAGTGTGGAGCTGGAAGAACACAGCATGCCAGGCAGCATCAGAGGAACAGGAAAGCTGATGTTTCGGGTCGGTACCTTTCTTCAGAAATGGGGACGGGGAGGGGAGCTCAGGAATAAAGAGAGAGAGGAGGGGTGGGGCTTGGGAAGGTAGATGGGATGGTGATAGGGGAGTTCGGGATTGGTCAGTGAGGTGGGAATGGCGGATAGGTTGCGTCGAGTCAAGGAAGCGGGGAATGAGAAGGAGGGTTGGTCATACAATGAGGCCAGGGCTGGGGAGATTTTGAAACTGGTAAAATCCACATTCAGGCCATCGGGCTGTAGGCTCCCAAGGCGGAATATGAGGTGCTGCTCCTCCAGTTTGCGGCTGGCATCGTTGTGACACTGGAGGATGGACATGTCACCCAAGGAGTGGGAGGGGGAATTAAAATGTTTTGCGACCGGAAAGTGTTGCTGTTTGTTGCGTTCAGATGTTCTACAAAACGGTCTCCGAGTCTCCGCTTGGTCTCACTGTTGTAGAGGAGGCCACATTGAGCATAGCGGATGCAGTATACCAAGTTGACAGATGTGCAGGTGAACCCATGTCTGATGTCGAATGTTTGCTTTTTGCCTTGAATGGACGTGAGGGAAGAGGTGTAGGGGCAGGTGTAGCACTTCCTGCAGTTGCGGGGAAAGGTGCCAGGGATAGCAGTGTTAGTGGGGAGTGTGGAGTGGACAAGGAAGTCATGGAGAGAGTGGTCTCTATGAAAAGGCAGATAGGGGTGGAGAGGTAAATAGATCTTTGGTCGTGGGGTCAGATTGTAGGTGGTGGAAGTGGCAGAGAATGATACAGTGGATGCATAGGTTGGTGGGGTGATATGTGAGGGCAGGGGTGTGGGAGACGCAAGAGATGCGTTTGAGGGCATTTTCAATCACCAGAGCGGGGCGGGGTGGAAGTTATGGTCCTTGAAATAGGAGGACATCTGGACTGTGCGGGAGTGGAGCGCCCCATCTTGGGGGCAGATGCAGTGGAGGATTTGGGAGTAGGGGGATCGCATTCTAGCAGGAAGGTGGGTAGGAGATCACCCCACCAACTTCCGCATCCAACGCATCATTCTCCGCCACTTCCGCCACCTAGTTTGACCCCACAACCAAAGATATATTTCCCTACCCACCCCTATCTGCCTTTCATCGGAACTGTTCTCTCCACAACTCACTTGTCCATTCCACACTCCCCACTAGCCGCACCATCCCCAGCACCTTTCCCTGCAACCGCAGGAAGTGCTACACCTGCCCCTACACCTCCCCCCTCACCTCCATTCAAGGCAAAAAACAAACGTTCGACATCAGACATGGGTTCACCTACACATCTGTCAACTTGGTATACTGCATCCGCTGCACCCGGTGAGGCCTCCTCTACATCGGTGAAACCAAGCGGAGACTAGGAGACTATTTTGTAGAACATCTGCGCTCTGTACGCGACAAACACCACCACCTTCCGGTCGCGAACCATTTTAACTCCCCCTCCTACTCCCTGGGTGACATGTCCATCCTGCGCCTCCTCCAGTGTCACAACGGCACCACACGCAAACTGGAGGAGCAGCACCTCATATTCCACCTCAGAACCTACAGCCCGATGGCCTAAATGTGGATTTTACCAGTTTCAAAATCTCCCCAGCCCCGGCCTCATTGTATGACCAACCCTCCCTCTCATCCCCTCCTCCTGACACAACCTGTCCATCTTCTCTCCCACCAATCCGCCACTGCCAAATCCCCACCACTGCCTACATGCACTCACTGATCACCATCCCACCTACCTTCTCCAGCCCCACCCCTCCTCTCTCTCTTTATTTCTGAGCTCCCCTCCCCCTCCCCATTTCTGTTCCTCTGTTGTTGCCTGGCCTGCTGTGTTCCTCCAGCTCCACACTTTGTTCTCTATTATTTAAATAGTTCAATTATTTGCTAATAATTAGCCACAGTTACTATTACAGTAGAAAAAATTCATGCATAACTACTTCAACAATCTGAACTAAAGAAAAGGAATAGATCACCCACCTTTTTGAGAATTTTTTAAAACTCAGTAAAATCATAGCTGATCCTCTTGCTCAATTCAATCTTCACACACAATCCCTATAACCCCCAATGTTCTCTGTTTTTAGGCACGGGGCTCAAAATTCACAGCCTGCCTGCACCAGTTCCAAACAAGATGGACAACGTTTAAAATTAGTGAACTTACTTGTTGCACGTCTCTTGGTAGCATTGTCAGTGCAGAGGATCAATTAACATCATGAACACGTACTCCAGGCAGTCTTCCCTTTATAAAGTCATAATTCCTATGAAAGGAAAGCTACACTAATGATGTAATAAATCTGGACAATCTGGATAATCCTGCTGAGGGACGCAGGCAATGAGAGCTGCACAACACGCCAGCAATAGGGTTCTCCTATTTAAATGATGTCAAAGTTAATGTTAACTAGTCGAAGTTAGAGAGACACTATGTGTTCACTAATGGAAAGAAGTCTTTGAGACAGACCCTCAGAAGAGAACGAATTGAATTGGCTGATTTATTGTCACTTGCATTTTACAGTGAATAATACAGTAAAAAAGAGTGAAAAGGTTCAACTGTAGCCACAATCTACCAGCATTTTCTCGACTTTAAGAATTATAAAAAATGAGTAAGACGATACCAGAGTCCATCTTCGTTCTGCTGTATCCATCATGAGTCCTGAGTCAACTCACCAGCAACACCTACGTTGCCACACCTCCTCCACCACCTCACTGCCATCTGTGCCAAACCCATCAACACAGGAGTCACCACTCTTTAGCCACCATCTCTTCACTGATGGGTCCATCCACTGATGAGCTGCCAAGGCCCATGCTGAACTCACACTCTCCCCACAACCAAGGGTCCCTGGCTCCGCTGCCACCTCGCCAATAACCAGGAGTTATTCAGTGCAGCATATACTCCAAGCTAAGAGGTGCAACTTTACTAGTCCATTGACAGTCCTGCCTGTTGTATGCAGCTACCTGCAAGTCAGTGATTCTGTGTCACTACTCTTAGATGGTGTGCCCATGTAATGGGGTAAGCTGTAGATTTACAGAGATGTGGAGAGGTCTGTGCACAACTGGGATTGTTAGAAGCAGTGTGTCGGAAAAATGTTGTAAAATCATGTGAGGCACAGACCTCAAGTGCTCAGCTGCAGTACTTGATGTGTGATAGAGTCAAGATGTGCTAAGCAGTGTGGAGATGTAATGTGGAAGAGCATTCACTCATGGACCCAAGCAAAATGATCAAATCTTTCCTGCATTGTTGCTATGCCAGACTGATAGTCTGGGAATTATTCACTCTTGCTGTCTGCTCCCATTCGGCTGGGACTCTCTGTGTGGCAATGGCCTGGCTTAGTAGTGGAACCAGAGACCCCTGGTTGTAGTAGGCCCAGAGTGGGGACTCCTGGTGCTGGTGAGGTAGCGGCTGCAGCTGTAGCAGCATTGTACACCCAGAGTGGGGGCTCCTGGCATCATTGAAGCAGCAGTGGAGTTAGGGACTCTTGGTTGTGGTCGCGGTAGGCCCTGAACAGTGACTCCTGGTTATTGGCGAGGTGGCAGCGGAGCCAGGGATCCTTGGTTGTGGGGAGAGTGTGAGTTCAGCATGGGCCTTGGCAGCTCATCAGTGGATGGGCCCATCAGTGAAGAGATGGTGGCTGAAGAATAGCGACTCCTATGTTGATGGGTTTGGCACAGATGGCAGTGAGGTGGTGGAGGAGGTGTGGCGACGCAGGTGTTGCTGGTGAGTTGACTCAGGACTCATGATGGATACAGCAGATGGGACAGATGCCACAGAGTCAGTGGGCCTTGGCAGTGAGTGGTTCCAGAGATAATCATGGTATTGCTTCCTTATGCCAACTTTGATCAATTCCTCACTTTCCCTGAACATAGAATCACAGAATTATTATAGTGCAGACGAAGGCTGTTTGACCTATTGTGCCTGCACCAGCTCTATTGCCAATATCCTGCCCTCTTCTCATTCCCCTGCTCACCATTTCTTTCCAAAAAAGAAAACGTCCAATTCCCTCCTGAATACCTCAGTTGAACCTACCTGTAGCACATTTCCAGACAGTGCATTCCATACGCGAACATCTCATGGTGTGAAAAACATTTCCTCACATCAGCATTGCTTCATTTGCACAAGATTGCAAATCTATGTCTTCTCATTCTTGTTTTGTTCATATGTAGAAACAGCCTTACCCTATCTATTCTGTCCAGTCGTCTCATTATTTTGAAAACTTTAATCAAATATCCTCTCTGTTGCCTTCTCCCCAGGAAGGACAGTCCCAACTTCTTCAATCTATCCTCATAGCTAAAGTTTCTCATACCTGAACCATTCTAGTAAATTGCTTCTGCACTCTCTCCGCTGCATTCGCAATTCCAATAATGTCACAC